AAGTCATCACGAACAATGCAGGCAACAAGTCATCACGAACAATGCAGGCAACAAGTCATCACGAACAAAGTAAATTTTATGGACGCTATTTTTTGAAATTCGTATTTTAACTTCGAAAACCCCAACGCAGATTAGCAACGCTAATGTTTACGATTTCCGACTCCGCTCTGTACGCGACTCACCGCTTCGGGGCGCGCCTTCGCCATGAGCTCTATGATGTCCGCCTGTCCCCCGGCGGCTGCCTGGGTGAGCGGACTGGCGCCCGTCTTGTCCTCCGCGCCCGGGTCCGCTCCCGCCGCGAGCAGCGCCTCCACCACTTCCTTGTGCCCTTCGCTGGCCGCCATCCAAAGTGCTGTTTCCCGCAGCCGCGACCGGACCTGAGGAGGCGGTTGCGACATGCGCACTGGTTAGGACTAGTTTTCTTGAGAGTTGGATCCGCCACCCCGTTCACCTTCCAGAAGTGAATTAGAAATTAAATACAAGCGTTCTTGGTAGTATCAGATAACGAAAGGTTTGCTGACGTAATAGAAACACTGCATCGGAAAACTAGCTGCAAATTTCATTTGTAGGTGCAGTCCACAAAATAATTAGATTTTGCATTCTTTCCACGATTAGCAAATCTAGAGCTCAAGGAAAATAGCACTGACAGTTCCTGTATTGTCGCAAGGGTGGAATGTGTAAACGTTTTTTAGGGTACTTCCAAAATGTTTTATTTCATACTTATGAACAAATATTTTAATGTTAATTTTTTGAAGGCAAATATAGATTTTAGAAATTGACTAATTTAATATTCTAGTATTATTAGAGATTATGTAGTTGTGTGCTAAGAACTCCGGCCTTGGGTGGTCATTTCGTAACGTTTGGTTCACTTTAAATTAATTCTATTTTCCCCATTTCAAATGTGTAAATACAGAGAATTTTTGGAATGATTAACATAGTATGTGCCAAAAAAACTTAAAACTCTAAATTATCTTTTTAAGTATTATTAGTGGTCAAATTGCGCTGATCCGTCCTATTAATGTAACGTTGTTTTCGCCGACACTTAAAAATTACCATTTTTGCGTGCAAAATCTTTATTATTTTAGTGGCTTTTAATGCACATGGCACTAAATTCACAATATTAACATTAATCAGTATCTAACGTTTGTGCAATTAGCGTCTAATGTTTATGAAAACATGGTAGATGTAAAAATAAAAATTAAAATAATTTTAAGTATGGCTTGGATTGACTACCAGAAGGTCTTTGACTGGGACGATATCCTAGACTCATTGAATTGTGTAAGGCTAGTATGAAGTCTTGGAGCACTTTATTACTAATGCCCAAAGAGAAGTAGTAGAAATGATTTGTATTCACGTTAATGGGGATTTTTTCAAGCCTTTTCGCTATCCCCTCTCCTGCTTTGCATTAGTGTGATCGCCATAGAGAGGCAATCTACTACTAAACCAAGGTGCTGTCGGGACACGGCTGTTTTAATAAATATTTGCACGACCTTCATTATTCACTCTTATCTAATACATAGCCCGAGTTGTGACCATTGTGAAACAGAGGTAGATGACCCCATCCACACCTTATCTGAGTAATACATGTACTGCAGTAGAGAAAATAACGGAGTAATAGTATCCCATACAAATAATTAAATTGATTCTTTCCTCCAAGAAAAAAACTGAATGTAATGGAAACCATAGTAACTAATATCCTGCAAAAGAATGAAAAGATATCGAAATTAACAAGAGCTTTCGCTACCCGCCTGTCGCCTCCATGAAAATGTTTTCATGGAGGCGTATATGGCTCATACGAAAGGTTAAGATTTTAGTCTGTAGACCAAGGTTGAGAGTTCGACAACCCGCTTCACCTATATCTATAAAATATTGTCAACACGCCGTGCGCGAAATGCGGTTTATTGTGGCTGTTTTCCGTGTGCGAAACACGTAATTTTTTGAATGTGCGAAACATCGCGAAGCGTATGCGAAACATCTGTAAAGTTTCGCAATTATCTTTCGTCTTGATGTCTTTGTTTATTATTTACAAACAATAGTGTTACGACACAAATCCAATTACTTTTGCACAAGTTAAGCATTTCTAATTATTTGATATTTAATTTACATTCCTTTACTTGACGCAATGCGTTTCGCTCACGACGTGTTAAAAATAGTATACGCAACCCGGGTACGAGGTGATTCCCGCACTCGTCTCTGTCGTCCTCGCTACGCTTGGACAAACTTTTCGTGCGTGAATCACCCGTTTCGCGCCATTGTCACGCAAACTTCATTTCCCCAACATAACATTATTAGCGTTGAGTACCTCGTCGGGGGGCGTGCCGCGCGCCAGCATTTCCTGCACGGCCGGCGCGTCGCCCTTCGCCGCCGCCTCCAGAAGCGCCAGCCCGCACGGGTGCGCTCGCGACGGGGAGCCCACCCACGACCGCAGCTGGAACCAAACACACGCATGAAGATCAGTTTAAAATCGATCAAGAAAGAAAGGGGGCGTTAGCCCTTCTCTAACGCATCGACGAGCGGAGAATAAGTAGCGGAATAGTGTTTTGTGGAAAAGAGGGTGGCGCGTTGTAATTAGTTTATGGGCACTTAAGGCGTTTGAGAGGTTTAGGCCTGAGGTGGGGAACGCGTGGCCCTGATACCACATGCAGCTTTGGGACTTTCTTGTGCAGCCCCGTTCTCTGCGAGTTCCTTATGCGGCCCCGCGTTTCTTAAGAGTGTTAACAAGAATATTTTTTTTAAATAATAATAATAATAATAATAATAATAATAATAATAATAATACCGTTACAATCCCGTAGAGGGCCATGGTCTCCTATTGTCGGGTGGGTTACACAGTGGTAGAATTCTCGAGCACCCAATTCGGGAACTTTCTCATACATACGCTATTTACACCCCAAAATAAGGAAATGTAAACGCTATTTACACACAAACCAAGTAACAGTTCACTTTATCACTGTCAAATATAACACAGTTCACTTTGATTTCACTACTTTAATACAATTAGCTAACACATCTTACTACTTTTGGCATTGGCACTTAAAGTTGGTGAGAAATTGAATAATCTAGTGTAGTACGTTCATTGTGCTGTATTTAGACATGGTCTTCCACATCTGACGATCCTTTGCCGAGGTAGGCCATTGGCTGCCAAACAGCCTCTTCAGTACGCACGACCGCCTCTTCTGCCTGCCGACGTTTATCGTGGTAATTCGGTAAGTTCAGCGGGTGTGGGGAAGTCACGTGATGTGACTTGTCCAACGTCATTTTAGTTGTCGAACAGTGGTTTCCACGTCATTGATTTGTGTCGCATTTTTACGTCTTCATTTCGTATTCTACTTGCCAGGGTAATGTTCAAAAATTTTCTTTCCATTTTTCGGAGGCAAACATTAATGGCTTTATTTACTAGGCTGCCCGGGTGACGCCGCGTCCATGGCGAAGGTGCCGACGTTTCGGTCGCCACTCTGCGACCTTCCTCAGGGCGTATTGCGATACGTATCGAAACGTCGGCACCTTCGCCATGGACGCGGCGTCACCCGGGCAGCCTAGTAAATACTGACTCCGGCCGCGGAAGCCAACGCTCTCAACATTAATGGCATTTGTTATGTTTTTTGTGTGAGTGCCCATGTTTGCGCACCAGAAGTACACAAGTATTTATGATTTAACTATTCGCAAGACGTACGACTTGTTCAAAATAATACATTTTAATTCCCAAAATGTTGACAATGCTTCTGAAATTAGTCTGGTTAATTCTCCTTTTTTGTGTTTGTTATTATTGAAAACCTTTGTCTCAGATATACAAATTATCACATTTTTCTGTACCAACAGAAATTTTATATTTTGTGCTATTTGTCATGACCTATTTTCTGAGATTTATTTCTAGACCCACTTCCTTGCTAAGGTTCAGAAGTTCAGAGAGCATTGCTTGCAGTTCTCTGGATGAAATGTCAGTTTATACCAATTACATTAATAACGTAATAATGCTGTAGCTTAACAGGAAATGAGAACATGACATAGAAGTTTTCATAAAATATGGGCTTACAAGATATTTCATTCTCCTCTATCCGCTTTGATACCATTCCCGCGCTCACCTCTTATTCCATGCCATTCGGGGGATTTTCACGCAATTGGCAAGGTTGCTGCCGATTCAGTTCCCTCTTGTCTCCTATTGCTGCCCGCCATTGCAACGATGTAGTGTTTAATTTGCTATAATTGTCAATTTCTTTTATCCACAATGGTGGACATGGTGCAAGGTGGCATGTCAAATTTTAAGATAAGAAAATTAAAAGAAAACCGAACAATTAATGGAGAATGGGAGTTGGCATTTATCGTTACTTCTGTGAAACATAAGATGATTATTTGTCGTGTAATACAGTTTTGAAAAACTGTATAATACTGCTTTGAAAAACGCAAATGTGAAAAAACGCTACGACTCTTGAACATAAATATTACATGTAAAAGAGGAATCTCGACAAACTGCAGTTGAAAAATTGAAGGGAAAGCAAGCGTTTTTTGTGTTTAAAAAACTACTACTGCAATTGATGTTACTTACAAAATAACACTGAAAAAGGGGCAAACCATTTAGCGACGCCGAAATAATCCCCATGAAGACTTTTAGTAACTGCGAGTGAGCGTGTGTGAAGATCCAACATGGTTAGACCACTTCCTATGGACCAATCGAGACGTGAGGTGTCGTTCGAAGCGAGTCGGTCTCCTGGGCAACTAATAATTTATTTTCGGATTCGGCCAGAAGATTCTAAGAAATTTCCAAACTCGTGTTCTAACGCTGCAATCTTAGAGGATAGAATTAAACCGACGCCACCTAAATAGATTTACGTAGTGAGTGGCGTTGATGATTCTCAGCACCCAGAAGCAATTTTTGTTCCAAGACACTAATTTTCTTCTACGAGGATGACAACACTAATTGTCCTGGATCCTGTGAAACACGCGGCAGAACTGTCCATAGTGGCGCTGCTTTGAACATAAGTAAAGTGTTTCGTCCGTATTACCGTATTTTTAATAATAAATTAGCAAACTTCTACGTACAGTATTACCCTAAAACTTATTAATGTGAAGAACGTCAAGTGAATACGGAGAAAACTAGGACGGTGAGAAATGTTAGGGAACAGTAGCACATGCGTATTGGACTTTGCACATTTACGTTCTTTAGCGTCCAATACGAGGGAAGAATGAAATTTAATTGAAGACTGGATTTTCGGACGTAATTGAGAACTATATATTAGGATTAGAGAATAACGCTGAAGAACAGCGTACAGGTGATTTTTTATGTGCGTGTTATGCGCATGTTTTTTTTATGTGCGTGTGCGAATTATTTGACTTAGTGGATAACTAGCCTCAAATCCCTTTTTGACGCTAAAAATGATCCTATAGAAATTGAAAAAATGTTTCATGCCAAAGATGATACATGCCGTTTACGTTCCTGCTTTGGAAGCGCTTATTTTGCGAGTCAACATTTTCTATCTAGATAAAAATTAAAACTAGTTTCAGAATCCAAATTACAAATTCTCATTTAGAGAATCAATTAAGACTGCACATTACAAAGATTCATCAAAATATTAAATAACTTTCAAGCAAGAATCAAAAACACAAAACCCACTAGCTTAAACCGAGATTTTATCAATGATCTATTTTAAATGTAATATTTTTAATGTTTCTACTGCTGTATTATTGTTACTTTAAATGTATTCAAATATTTAGTTGTTTCATAAAATCGTATTCTTCTGTTACAGCCTACTTTTAAAATGCTTTCTTATAGTAAAATCGTTTCCCACTCCTGGGATAGCCCGCAGGCAGGAGCTTGTACATAAACTTCTACATGAATAGCAGTGTAAGTTCTTAAAGTGTTCACAAAAAAACTTGAATAAAATTGGTTTGAAATTGTATATTAGATAAGGATGTTTTATGTTAGACTTAGGAAAGATAGCCAGAGCCTCGCCATGAACTCCTGACATTCATTGTGAAGTCGCCTTCCCTTATCTTGATTTTTGAAAGAGACCATTCCACTAGCGGGCTCATGCAATCCTTCCCCATGTACTCGCTAGCTGATTCCTTCACGTTCGTTGCGTTAAGGAAGAAGAGCAGAAGAAAAACCTCGGGGAAACATCGGCACACTTTCTAGTATGCGCGGTTACGTAATATTACATTGCGCCCACCTTATCACTTCAGCCATCACGTAATGTAGACAATGTAGCTCAAAATTATGCGAAAACTATCTAAAAAATGGGCATGGAATTATTTAAAAGACTAATAAATAAATATCTAATAAATAAAGGTCTAATAAATAAACTGCAATAAGAAAAATTAATTTTAACTTCGATATTCAGAGAAAGTTTTGAAGACTCAAGAGCAAATTCAGGATGAAACTAGCGCGTATCCAGAAATCGTTAGAGGGTGTTATCGTTAGGAGGCGGCAATTTCTTTTTCTTGTCCAACAAGACTGACAAAGATTCAAATTTTTAGGTTAAAATTTTCTGGTTCATGTATATAAGTACAATAGTTGAATAATTGTTAGAACGTCGATTTTTGACTTTGCAAATCTACCTCATGGAAATGAATTAACGCAAGTCCCACGAGATTATCTTGGGTCATGTGACATCTGAGCCGACGCAGAGCTGAAAAGATTTTCTGCTGAAGCCACGCTGATTGGCAAACCCGAAAAAATGTGTAACAGTTTACAATTAGGATAAATGTTTGCGTCGCACATTCCGTCGCGTATACATTTCCTCAACATATAGCTCCGGAATGTTTTAATTTGCGATCACAATACATAAAATGCTCACTACGAGAACGAACTCGCCGGCCCGGTGGCCGAGATCGTTAAGACAGCAGTGCCGTAGCGATCTCGTGTCTAAGGATCCCGGGTTTGAGTCCCGCTTCGGGTATGGTTGTATTTGTGTTCGTCCTTTCACCCCCTATCACCACCCCTGTCATCTTCATAGTTCATGCGACCTAAATAAAAAAAATTACAAAACCAAACGTGGGAGGGGCACGGCCTTCATGCACCCCCACTCCGCTGATCGACCTTTGGCATAAAACTTTTCGTATTTGGAATTCCAATAACTAATACTTCAGCGAACTAGTTTCAATTCAGATTTTTAACAAGAATTTCAATGTTCTTTTTAACCCCGAGAAGAAACATTTGAGGAAACCATTTTCCTGGAGGAGAAAGAATTTGGCTAGAGAATGGCATTTACATGAACATGTACACTTTCGTAGAGATGCTTTGGAAGAGTTCTTTGTGCGGACTTAATTTTCAAAAGAGAATTCACGAGAATTTACTATATATTTAAATATTTATAATCTTACACTATTCTAAAAGCTGTTATTGTAAGACAATTCAAGGACTATTGTAGCACTCTTGGTTGCAAGTTCTATTCAGAAGTTGATATCAGTTTACAATGGCGTTACAAATTTCACATTCGTAAGAATTTAACATCGTATTTAAATTATATTGTCATTCGAAGCTTAAAACAATTTTGTTTGAAAAAATGTAACTATTATATTTTGTTTTGAATACAAAATCAGAATTTAAAAAGTTTTACAAGTGCGAGCCACCCGTGTTCATCAGATTTCTTTAGAGAATATGAAAAGTTAAATTGGTGATTTCAACGTTCAATCACAAATACTAATGAATAAATGCAGAACATCTTGAAATCAACTAATTTACATTAGACACTGTTGACATGGTTCAAGCTTTCATACTATTATGGTAGCAGTCTTTGAAAGCATTTCCATGGTGGCTTATTACCCTCTGACTTAATGCGAAAAACTCAAAGATTTACTAAAATCGATCTGAAAGATTAAGTAGTTCAGATATTGAGAGCAGGATATCCAGTCGACTAAACAATTCATTTACTGAAGAGCTTCTTTAACAAAATTCATAGCATAAAATTGCATTCATTCCTGGAGTTTTTTCCCAATAGAACTACGAACTCCAGAAACAATTCACGTATTAATCTAATTCAATGCGCCAAAATCAGAGTTTTATTCATCTTTCTCCTGGGAGTGAGGCACTTCACTCTAGAACTATTTAGAATACCTACCACACCCCATGGGGCGAAACCAAACCATTTGAGTCCGAGAGATAGCGTCACAAAAACATCCTTTAGCTTAGTTTCCTATCGTACACTAAATCTGGTCTAAATCAAAGTTAATGGAGTTTGTCATTTCAACCCTAATGTCAGAGGCACGTTCGAGCATTAGGGATTTCCAAACCTTGAAAAGTAGAATTAGTTCCAGTGATTTCGCATCTGAAATTTTGTGTGTATATAGTACAATTACAAAGATTCGAAAGGTATGTTCTACCAGCTCACGGACATAATGAAAATCTGCCGGGAGATTTGTCAAAGAATATTGTTAAGTGATGTCGATTTGCGGCAGACCAATGGAATATTCAATATTATGCTAAACAAAGTGAGAAAATTTGCTGCCACCGTTCCCACCCCCAAGGGCACATTCAGTCCACACCCAAAACTTGAGGGAAGAGTGGCATTCAGAGGCGCCAAAAGCCACAAACTGGGAACTTCTTAGGTGCACGTTCTTGCTTCACGTATTCTGGTCGAAATTCATTAAAACCTACAAATTTACTTCATTAAATTTCTGACCACATCTTAGCTGAAAATTTCCACGTACAACACTTTACTATATTTTAAGAATTAGGAACATTGAGAAGTTGTATTAGTTAATTTTAATAGTCCACGTCATCACGCAAGGTTATGTTCTAGATTCAGCAGCAGTTCCATTCTTATGTGCAAATACAAAACCCTGATAATGGACTACTATAGTAAGCTCTCACCCAATTCATTTTTCACACTAAAGCAATGCGTGATTGAACGTTGTATTCACGTACCCTTTTCCACCAGCCTGATGCATCCATGTTGAATATTCGGAACACCAAGGACTGCTTCGTTTACTTCTCACACGACTCTCACCTGGCTTCGTTCACGGCTTTAGACTGTCACTCGTGATGCGAGGAGAAAGGTATGCTGGTCAGCCGCACCGATTTTTCCTTGTTCGTCGCGTATTCGTCACAAACCACGTGACCACACCCCTGGCTCATCGTTTGAAAAGCAAGACCAGACCATGGGGGGAAATAAACACGTAGTTATTTCCACCATGGACCAGACGACGCTAGCCGCCTTGCAACATGGCAAGTGAACATCAAGTGCCCATGAGAAAAGTGATCATTTTGAACAGTGTTCCAATAAAATTAACACAATGAAGGAACAATTGAAAAAAAAATCATCTATAATGTCTTCTAATACGATATTTTGAGACTAAAATTTGTAAACCTCAAGGAAACCTTAAGTAAGATTCACCTGCAATTCTCTGAATGTTCTAAATTATTTTTGAACTTATGGTTTCAAGTGTGGAACTTGTGAGAAAAGCACATAATTTTAACAAACCACAAAGGAAATTTTATTATACAAACGGAATTTTGATACAAAAAAATGACTTCTGTAATGTCATTAAATTGAACAGCAGATTAATTTTATTCTTTAATTACAGAAAAATGTTAAAAACTTAAGTATAATCAATGTCATACTTAATGGGGGGAGGGCTTCAGTCCCCCAGAAGCCAATTATGCATATTCAAAAATATATTGATTACTAATTTTCTGTTCTAATGAAAGATATTCAAAATATTGTTGTTAAGGTTATAAGTATTAACTATAAGTCAACAAATATAAAAACCCTTTTGTACGCAGCATGAAAGAAAAATTCTGTATAAGAAAACATCAATTTGGATAGTCACTGTAACCTGTAGTGCCCTCCCCCTCATGCAGGTTTCCCTACTATTCTTAAAAAAATATCCTTAATCTGTCAATGCTGTTTTCTTTATGCAGAAACTAAGTTGTTCTAATTTGGTGTAATTTGTTTTCTTGAATATTCAAATAATTCAACATTGCAATAAATGATCTTCTTGGAGTTGAAATGGATATGGGACCTACATATTTATTAATTTTAGATACAGTTATTTATTAAACTTACAGACACTTCTGTTCAGCACAGATACTTAGTAATAGATAGGTAGAATATAAAATTAACAAACAATTATGTTATTGAACATAAGACAGGGGTTACATAAAGAAAGAAACATTTTTTAAAATTCTCCTCAGTTAAACATGCGAAAAAGCACAAACTGATTTATTTACCCATTTACAAAATATTACAATTGAAAAGCTTGGGATTTGAGAGCACATTTGAACACATATTGTTGAAAATTGAAATATTACCATTTACACAACACTTTAGGGGTGGATCCAGCCTTTGGAGCAGGGGAGTGGATCATGGATTTTTGATAAACAATAAACATATTTGCTATATAGAATATTATTTTTGTAGTGTATATATGATACTAAATAATATTATTTTTTAAATAATTACATAATACTAACATAAATATTTAAATAATTTTTCCAAATAAAAAAAGGTAACAAATGAAAACTCTAGGACTTTGAGGGTGGGGGAGGGGGCATGGACATCATGCCCTCCCCCCTGGATCCGCCATTGCAATACTTTCTGTTTGTCTTCTTGCAAGTAGTAAGCTCTAATATATTTTAACAACATTTAGCAGAATAACACGGTGCACTTTGTTATAAATTCCTATTATAGTTAGTGTGTTATAGACTACATATATTTTGCCATAAAATTAATTTTCAGTCCGAAGTGGCAGATAACTATTTTCTCTTGAGATATTCAAATACCATACTATAAAATACATAAGAAATATGAGGTAGCATAGAGTTTCAAAAATGAACAATTTGAACTAGGTATAACACATGATAACAGACAATAAATGTTGCTGCAGCCATTTCATTAACAAATTTGAGCCCCATGTCTTACAGATACTTTCAAGAAATACTAAAAATGCCATTACAAACACTATCAACATTACCTCTTTGGACTGCAGCTATTATCTTAAAAGAAGAAATACTTTATAGTCATTGCACACATACTTATAAACGGTAAAGTAATGGTTCATTTGAATGCTTATCCTTAATATCATTTGATGAAATTAATATTTGTAACAAAATAAAAATTTATGACAAATAGCAGAAATAATGTGGTTCCCTTATTGGCCTCAAAGTAGTTATGAGACATGGTCTTTTTAAATATTGGAAACAACCTCTTTCTTATAATTTTGTACCTCGAGTATCAAAGGAAATTTTATTTGAAGTTGTAACCAAACTGTATTCCGCAGGGTATACAGTTATCTGTATTGCCAGTAACATGTCATAACAAAATATAGAACTAGTAAATGATCTGGAGTAACTTTAGATTATGTAATTTTGAATATCCAGTTGAAAACAAATCCATAATTTATGTTTTTTTCATGTCCTTCTTGTCTTTTGAAATTAGTTAAATATCATATTCATTACTGTGGTTTCATTATTGATGGTTCTCATATAAATAAAGAATGTATTGAAAAAATCTGACACTTCACCAAAGTGATCTGAAAATTGCATTCAAAGTAACAGAAAATCATTTGTCACTGAGGAGCAAGGCAAGAAAAAGATGATGGCAGCTGCACAGCAGTTTTCAGTCTATGGCAAATACAATAGAATGGGGTGATGTCAAGAATATATCTGGTTAAAGACAGCACATGAGTTGAGGACTGTCAACAACTGGTTTGATATCTTAAATTAATATTAAAAACATAATTTAATTAATAGGGTATTAATATCATTTTATTGGTAGTATCAATGATAATCTCATTTTATTAGTAAATTAATTTGGTATTGATATCACAGCTTCACAGTTGGTAGGTCACGAAAGTCTACAAAGTCTACAAAGCAAATTCTGGCTATAAAAACAAACATGTTTTCTCCATTAAATAACGTAATGGCATCTGTGATTCTTTCTATTTATTTTTAATCTCATTTTCTGAATACATTTTTAATTTTTAAATTGAAAATTTTCAGTTCCTCATCCTACATCGCTATTTACATATATTTTCATTGAAAATCACTGAAGAAAGATTTATTGGAATGAATTGCATTGTAGGAAACTCTTAAATTATGTACAACAGTTTGTTAATGATTGTCTATTATTAAATACTTTTTATGATTTCAGTGATATTAACAAATTAAAACTGAATTATCAGTACCAATAAATATTTTTAAAGAAAAATCATTTTATGTAAGTGAAATAAAATAATTATTCCTGACATAAATTCCATCTACTTCATTTCAATTGATGGCAATACATTATTTTTAATTCTAACAATAATGAATTGACATAATTTAAATTTGGTCACAATGTGAATATCAAGTTAAAAATACTTCTTTAACTTAGTATCTTGGTTCACTGTAAATTTCAAGAGATGGTAAGGCAATATTGTTAACTTCACTTGAAAAGTGTATGTAACCAATTCTGGCTCAAAAACTAAAGTGTTTTTACATTAAATAATGTAATGGCATCTGTGATTCTTTGTATTTATTTTAGATCTAATTTTTGTAATTCATTTTTAATTTTAAAATTCAAAATTTTATCAGTTTTAAAACTTCCTTCGAATTACAGAGCATCTCTCAACTCTGCAATGGAAACCACCAAAAATTTGAATGATGATATTCAACCTGTTTTGGGAATGTTATATTATCAAGCATAGGTTCACAAGAAGTATAAATATGCTAGACTTCTTAGATATTAAAGTGAAACATCCTAATGACATTATAGAAACATAAACATTTGAATGTGTATTATTAATGGTTACTACCCCAGGTATGCAAGGATATTGCTTTCATTGAAAACATTCAAACATGAAATAATCTATTTATACATGCAATGTGAAGTTAACTAGAAGTATATTATTTATATACTGCTACCTACTGGAGTATCTAGGGTTTTTCAGTGTTTATGTAGGTATTATATTCAGTTTGTTTGCATTGTATACACAATTGATTCTTAGTTCAACTATAAGTAACTTAACCATATACCAAAACTGGCCAAATTCTGCATGATTTGCAATATGTTATTAGTGGCCAAAAGCATGAAAAATATAACCAAGTATTATATCTGTCTTCTTCTCTCTTTCAGGATTATCACTAAGGCAATAACCGTTTGTTAACTCTATAAATGGTTATTTCCACTATTACTATACAAATATTGAGTCTCTAATGACCTTAGTTATCAATGTCACTATAAATAAATATATTTAAAAAATATTGTTTCATCAATAGATCAAAAATGTAACAAATACAGGAAATGAGTGGTTGCACATTTTTCGTTGTTTGCGATATACACAATGTTAATGGTATATTTTTACAAGCAGTTCTGTACAAATATGCTCTGAATGTAATTCAAAATTATTACAATGTATTGCCAAATCAATACCAAAATACATTAGTTGTGTCTATCCCATAAGGAAAAAGGACATTGTCATAAACAGACCAGAATAGAATGAAATTACATTTTTTAAAGTAACACCTCCATTCTTGCTCAATTTAAATTGTAACTATTTATATCCAATATTAATTCCATTGTCAATTCCCTGAGAGAATTACGCGGAATTCTTGTCAGGAATAAAATAGTTTCATTTTAGATACTAATTTAATGAGATTTTTCTTACAAGATTCTGTTGAATTTCAAATGAATTAAATACCAATTTTTTTAATTCTTTAAAAAAATTAAATGTTTATTTTTCAACAATTTGAGATAACTGTTTAAAAAACTCACTTTATCCTTTGTAAATAATTTTACACATAAATAAACAAACCAAAACCCAATACTTGTCATTGAAATTGATTTACTGATTTATATATTTAATGTCAAAAACAGTTAAAAACTGTGTGAGATGTACTATGGAGAGAAGGTAGACTGTGCATGTTTTTTAAAATTCTTGGATCCCTACCCTAAACCATATACAAGTTGAATTTTAAATGCATATGGAAATGAACATCTTTGATCAGAACCTTATTTGAAGATGTTTCTAATGAACACATTTCATTAAGAAAAAAATCTTCATAAATGTTGTTGTAGGAAGACAACCAAAAAAAATGTCTAATGTAATGATCCAAACTGTGAGATTATTTGTCCAGTTATTTAAATGGGCAATCTACCATATTTCTAGGTACACGGGCAATTGTTCAGTGTTTATGTTCTTCTGTGCACTGCTAAGAATCAACATACTTTTATTTTTTATTTTATATTCATTGAAACACATAAATAATATTTCAAAGCAATGTGGCTTCTTTTAAAAATGTTTTATGCAATTTTAACTAACAAAATTTTACAATTTAATAATTGATTTTTAATCAAGAATGTTACAATATCTAAATGATAACGCAGGAAATTGAGGGCGGTCTCTCACATCCAGATTGATACAAAAATGGCAGGCAATTCCAAATAGGGGAATGTTTGGCAGCACATATTTTGTGACCATTTCCCCTCATTATGAAGCTGGATTAGAGGTACCAGCGAGCAAACCTCTTTTTTGATATTCTATGGGCAATCATGAAATTATTAAAAGTCTTGTGAAATAGAACGCATAGGGCTTAATCGTTTTTATATGATGTCGTATACGTTATTAATAAATAGTGTTCGTTGATTTGAAATTAGAAATGTCTGAAATTAGGGATTTAGGGCAGAAAGTAATCATGATTTTTTAACAGCAAGTTTTTTTTGCTTAAAAGGAACCGTATTATTCAATTAAACATTATTAACGAAAAAATAATTTATTATTGTCATCAAACAAAAGAGATTCAATATCACAATTTCGTATCTAGCTGCACGCTAATTAGCGATTACATCGTAACAAAGCGAATTACATTTTCTGCCCTTCAAATTATTATAATACTTAACTTATTATAATCGAATACATACGTCTAATTCGTTTTAGATTCATAGTGTACATTGTTTTAAATCGACAAATATTTCCAAAATAAAAGGTAATGATACTTGAACTGTGTGTAACAATATTCTCGCCATTGCTCTTTCAATCTAAGCGCTACATTTCCAATTGCGCATTCTCATTGGCGGTCCCCACTCCTTGAATGACATCCCCACCCTTCCACGCGGCTCGTGTATGCACTCCATTATCCATTCATTATAAGAAAAATCCTAATGTAAAAAAATGCACGTGTGTTAGGATGATTCTCATTGGTTTGCAGTGTGAGGTCTGCTGTTGACGGGATCCTTACGCTAAAGTAAATAGTTCTCTGTATAAAAACTTATTTATTTACCACCGTTAATTAAATTAACCTTTCGTCAAAACAATTGAAACGGTTTCGTAAAAAGAGACCATTATGAACTGAATGTGTGTTGCTGGGCGATAAGTTTACGAGCCATCTAATGGCTATTTGGGGTCATCTAGTGGCTCAGAGCAAAGTCTTGTCTTTCACTACGGAGGCCCGGGTTCGATACCCATCGAATCCCGGACAATCTCATGTGAAATTTGTTCCAACAAAATCAGTTAAGCTACTTCACAAGGGCTAGTCCAACTTTTGTGAAGTGTCCTAAACCCTATCTCTATCCCTATGCCTATCCCAATTCACAAGTAACAAGTGTGAATAGTTTCTTCGGAGTAGCAAACAGCTTATCGTTATGAAAGTTTTCAATTAGTTTTTGCATACAAAAATCCGTCGTTACCAGTGAAGCAAAAAGTAGAGTTCACTGGAATCTCCGTGACCAGCGTATTGAAACTCCAGAAAGAGCTCACTGACAAGGGATAACTACAAACGCCAGAGACGAAAGGGGAAGAAACTTACTGAAGCATTCGATGACTTTGTATTCAGTGCTGTTTGATCGAAAGTGTATTCCTTGCATCAAAAGGGCAAAGGGGTAGAAACGAAAACACCAACGCTTGCGAAATTGTTGCAGCTTGTGAGTTGTGGTCAAGAATTCCGAATTTTAAGGTAACCAATTTATACAAGTAACTTTCAACATCCGGTTATTGATAACCCCCTTCCTGAAGCATTCTGATCGTAAGTGAAGTAGTTGAATGAGCATAACATTTACATGACAGCTCTTATTCAACTTGAATTGGCGGGGTATGCTGCCCACGTAATCGAAAGTAGTACGCTAGAAGTTGTCCAATCAGAAGCTCAGTGCAAAGATTTCTTCGGTTTGTTTACATAAGGTTTTTTCTTAAGTTTCTTAATTGTATTTAATTGTTTGTTTAAGTATAATGTTCAGTTTACAATAAAAAACTTTGCAATTGTTTGATGACAATCTAATTAACTTAATCTAGGTTAAAATTGTACTTAATCTTAGTATAGGGAGAGGAAACAAAAGCACCTCAGGAGAATTATTCAACATTTGCAAATATGTGGAGGAAATAATGGAGCGAGAATCTGTTCTTAATTCTGGTTTTGTATCTGGAATCTTTTCCGAGTCGTGAGTTGATGCCTTTATGAAGGATAAGTTTGTGTAAAAGTTGTTTGATAGGAATTCTATTTCGTGTGTTATTTTTTGTTTAGATAGTTATGAAGTTGTTTATTACTAATGAACCATGGTGCTCTTGTTATTGATCTTAAATATTTGTTTTGAAACGCATGCAATTTGTTGAGATTGGTTTTGGCGGCATTGGTCCAGATCGGGTATGCGTATAATACTATTGGGCGAATGAGTGATTTGCGAATTGTGATTTGAGCGTTAATGCATTTGACAGTGAGAGGTGGTTGTAAGAGTGTAGTCGGTCGTCTTGAGGGTTTTTCTTAAGTTCAACTGATAATAGTTTCCCGCGCGCGGCTCCCGAGGTCAGCCAACATGCAGACTGCTGTGAAGGCCTGGCCTAAACCATTCAACAGTTTTTGTTCAAATTTGATATTCCCCAATAATTTGAATGAAGTGGAGGCTTTGAGAGTTTCAAACGGATATTTTAATTTGAGATTTTATAAGCAGCCTCAAAAAACTTTCAACATTTCCTAAAAAGTGGCAACATTTATCAAACTGTCCTTACAGAGTAAAGAAAGCTTAAGAAAATGGTGCAGGACTCATTGAAATCCTAGATTTTGTTTGAATTGCGAATGTACAGTTGTTTTGGGAGTCTTCCTACAAATAAAACCTTGAATATCTTTTTTCCTTAATGAAATCTGTTTCTTAAAGACTTATCTTTAAAGAAGATCAATTATTCGAAAATGTAGTTTTCGTGTAATTTGATGAAAAATGTAGACAATTTAAAAAATCTCCAAAACCGCTTAGAACATTTAATATTTTTTCATAGGTAGAAGAAAGGTTGCTTGAATACTAGCGCGGATCTCTTCTTTGAACTCAAGTTTTGAAACTTGCAAATTTAGAAATAATGTGAGAAAGTGTGCTATTGTAGCGCTACTACTTTAATGTTTCAGGGGCTTCATGTTTTAATTTTGGAGGTTCTTTACAAGTTCTAAATTCAAGAGTCCACGACACCAGCCATATTGATTGGGGAATATATATTTTGCTGCTCACGGTTTAGCCACTAGCGTTGTGCACAACGTTCGATGTTTCGGTATCTACAAAAAAATTGAATGCGACTACACGTGTTAGTAATTTACAAAATGGAGATAAGATTTATCCACTTGCTATGCAAATAAATCTTTTTCTTGGACCCACAAAAGTGTCGAAATTTCGGGACTCCCTGCAGATTTACAGTGCCTCATTCCTGGAATATATTGTAACTAATGCCATTTGTTTAGGTTTTTCCTTAAAATAATGTATAACCAGTCTTGGAAGTAGTACTCCCTCCTACCCTACATTTACATATTTGTACTATACAATTTTGTTGAAGCACAGGCGTTAAATATTCGGCTGTAACCAATCTTTTTTAAATGCAATTTTTATCGATGTTATAAAATAATCCATATTAAATATGGAAGCATGGACATTAGGACACCAGGAAAAGAAGAGAAAAAGAAACATCTTTAAGGGTGTCAGTTCTAATATTGATGGTATGGTGACCAAAAGTTTATTTTTAAAATCCTAATTAGAGCAGTACATTCGGGACACGAAATTCCTTTTAAATCTTAAGGCAAGGAATGAGCACAATGGATATAAAATGGGCATAAAAGTTATAAATCCACTTGCGATTTTTAAATTTTTTAAAATTCAACGTCTTGCAATTATGCGACCTGCAAATTTTACCAATGAATCAGAACATTCAATCAGAGCGTAAAAACATAGCAAAAGTAAAAAACTATTCGCAACAAGAATACCATTAGAATAGAATACCCTTAACCACAAGAGTCCTAAACCGTTCGGTTTAAGAAAGTTCGTCACTGGTTTTGTAAAAAACTTGGTCTAGCTAAATGATAGTACTAGGTAGCTTCAAACCTGGAAAAAAATGTACTCAGCGAAGCTACGTCATTTTTCTACTGTGAGAAAGGTGACCATACACGAGCAAAGCCAAGCCTAGGCTAGCCCAGCATACAAATCAGTTACCGCCGTCTCTTGCTTCATTACAGAAATAATGCGATAACCACAACCGCCACGAGCTGTGCTTCGTCTTGTATGGCCATGTGAAGACCCGCGTTGCGTGGAGTCAGTGGCCGGCGTCAGGGCGCGCGGCCGAGCCTTCCACCGGCGGGCGGCGCACGGGGGAGTGCCCGGGCTGCAGCACGTCGCGCGCGTACTCCGAGATGGCCTCGTCGCGGGGGACGCGCCCTGCGCGGTCGCGGGCGCTGCGGTCCGCCCCGGCGACCAACAGCTCGTACACGCACCCGTCTTCGTTCGCTTCGGAGGCGTAGTGCAGGGGCGTCCGGCCGTTGTCGTCCACCTGCGGAGGTCATAGGTCAAAATTAGTTCAGTCAAAGAAGTAGCCGGCCCGTCTGCTTTGTTGGCGTGAGTTTCCGTTCGTAAATTATTTCACAGCACGCAGAAATTTGGGTAAAGCAGTCCGGAGGCATGTTGTAAGAATGTAATTTTATTACACCCTTTGGCATGCAAATTATTTCACAATTTAATTCGACATCTAGCATGGTTGTGAAGGAGTAGTATGAAATGGTAATTTGGAACAATACCGCCATCAACTGATAACAAAAGTTAACGAAACCTAGCAAAGGCCAAAGGAGGCTTTTAATTTTTCTCGTACTATACATGTAGAATAGGGAAGGTTATGTAATGCAGAAACGAAAGTTCTATATATAGAGCGAAAAAGTCGATGTATCTGTATGTAGTATAGAATTTCCCCTAATACATTGCGAAGTTAGAACATTGCTAAGTTATAGAATAGACCTTAGTACTTAATATACTGTTGCAGGCTCGATTTTCGTTTAGTTCAATGAATCTTCGAAAATTGGAAAAGTTCAAGTATCTTCGCGTTTCTCACCACTACAATATTCAAGATTGAATATTAGGTAATTTTAAAAAATATTGTCAAAATCTGTTTCAAGTTTCCCATTTTAAACATTTAGGAATGGATGCAGATAAATGTATTTAATAACGCGTAACACCATTGACGTATTGTTTTGGTATTTCAAAAATTACGTACATTTAAGTTATTTTTACTGTATCTGTAATCGTTAAAATTTACGAGCGTCTTTTTTACATTGTTTTCCAATAATAGGTGCTTCAAATAATTTATTATGAAGTATTAAATAGTTCATAATATATTCAAAAACCAGTATAAAATGATTTTCAAAACTTAAAAGGACTTATCCAAAACTGCTCTAAATGTTCAATGTATTTCTACGTGTAGAACCAAGTTTTACTCTCGAATATTAAATATTTGAATAAATAGAAATGTTAGAAAAGATTAAAAAGCTGAAGCGAGAAAGTGTGCCCCTTAGCACTACTAGTTTTAATCTAATTTTAAACTTAAGGAAAGAGTTTCGCAAAATAACGGCGGTTGAAGGAGTGAGACATTTGCAGCCATTTTTAACAATTATTACGCTCAGAATTTGAAAGCCGACAGGAATGTAAATACGTAAAGTAACTACCTAAATTTTGTTTAGTATAACTTTCAAACCAAGCATTTTGTAACTTGTTAAAACCGTGTGTTATTCAAATTCAAATTTACACCAAATGGAAAGGAAAGATGGATAAGTTACGTTTGTACGTAGAGAAAGTGCGTTAGATCGTGAGATAGTGTACACATAGTTTAAAGTTTGCCGAATGTACAAATGAACAGTTCGAATAAATCTACATGGATTTTAATTTAAATATGTTTTGGTTTTAGACGAGAGAAACTAAACATTATCTTTCGGGCGTGAGTAGAATGGTTGGCGTCTTAACGAAAGACGCGTTCGAGGACCTGAAACTACATTAGCAAAGTTTGCTGCAAGAATTTCGAAAGGGAAGAGATGCATTCAGAAAATACAGAGAACTCCAATAATAAATGTACAAGGCCAAGATTGTTATAAGATTGACAGAATGAGTAGATTAATGAAGTAAAGAATAAATTAACAAACTGCCATATTAGGAATATCCTAAATTTTAAAAACAGAACTGATCTTGTGAATAAACAGTTGTAAATCTCTGCGAGTGTAAAAAATGTGGTTGTATAATTAAATCCTTGCGTTTAAAAGTTAATACCAATTGTTTCACGAATTCAATGTTCAAAAACGGAAATCTTACAAATTAAATAGTAACAAGTGCAATTCTTGCGCTTTATTTGAAAACAAGGATGTTTAATGAGAAATAGCCAACAATACAAGTTTTTCCCTAATATGAATAATTGTATCAGACGAATTTTCGTACGAGCAGTGGATTTTTAAGCTTAAGAATTTATGTAGCAAGCATCATTAAGAGGACCTGAGAATGTATATTTTTAGCGAACCCTACTTGGTATTGTAAACTAAATAACAGTTACCCAATAATAAATTAAATTAAGGGGATAAGATCTTTATATTAAAATGAACTAAAAGTGATTAGATTGAAGAGTACGGTCATTCCAATACGTCATTACAATTTTAAAACTTACCATTTATGTCGTTTAGATTAGCATTTTCTGAAACCTACACTTTGCAAAACCCCATACTCTGTTCACAAACACAGTACAATAAATCAAAATAACGCAAAATACAATTACAGTGAACCCTCATTAACATTAATTCCAGGTAACCGAAATAATCTGTGTTAGTGTATTAATATCGTTTTATCCGATTAAAAAAGAACTATTGCAGTAATCCCATGCCGGTCCCTAATTTTTTTGTTCATGTTACGGCGAAATTCGCGCTAAGATTTCGTGCCAACGAGGATTTACAAGGCCTCTACCTGATTGGGGCTGGCGCCGGCCTTCAGTAGCTCCGCGACGCACCGGGCGTCGTTGGCGGCGGCGGTGAAGAGGGCCGGGAGGCCGCCGTCGGGCGGGCGCGCGTCCGCCGGGGTGCCGCCGCGCAGCAGCTGGCGCATGCACAGGTGCCGGCCGTTCTGCGCGGCTCGCGTCAGCGCCAGCGCTGCCGTCTCCGTCAAGAACTGGAAGGACACATCAGCATCACACTCCCTTGTGCGATTTGAGAGCGTTACAAGCTACGTAATATAAACTGCGAAAGTTTTTTTTTTTTATCCGCTGAAACATCTGTCGCAGCGTGGGCGCCTTGGCCCCTTCAGACCTAGAGTACAATTCAAAGTACTCTATGCATGTCGTAAAGGCTTCCGCGAACGAGAGTCGTGAGCGGGCTGCGGTGACGCCGGCGGTCCCCGATGGCTGAGGTGCGACGTTTCGACCGACATATCGCGGTCCGCTCTTCAAGGACTGACTGGGGCAGGATATTGGGGCGGCAGTACAGCCCTGAAGAGACCCGCGATATGTCGGTCGAATCGTCGGCACCTCAGCCTTCGACGCGGTGTCACCCTGACAGCCCAGATCAATTTACAATATATTTACAACGTAGTTAAACCTTTACTTAAGGTTTCTAAGAATTCGAATTTAAGATTTTTCTTTTATAATTTATCTTATCTTAATATTATTAATCATGAATCATTCATCTTTCAAGGGAATTCTAACTTCTTCACAGTAAAAACAAAAACAAAATCAAGTATGGGGTTAGGCAGCGTTTTTTTACGGCAGTCTTGATTTAAAACAGTTTGCCATACGAACTACGTACTAATTCACCACTAAATTCTAGGCTGCGTAGTGGAGCACGAGATAAATGATCTGAACAAAAAAAATTTATGAATAAAAGAAGTACTACGAAAAAATAATTGTTAATGGTACAAACGACAACTTTCGGATCAATTTGTAATCCACGCGAAATTTTAATATTAGATCCTGGCACGATCGTAAAGCGAACATTTTTTCCATAAGCGAGAGGAAGGGAACAGGCGAGATGCACAGTTCCACTTTCATAACAATGTAACGTTATTTTTGTACTTGTTACAATAAAATTGTGTTCAATTCGTTCAGATTTTCTTCTCTGCAAAGCGAAAAGCGAGGGAAGGTGAAATCGTGGAGCAAAGAATTTTCTGTTTTCCCCTCCAAACAATCAGTCTTGTCTACGCACTTTGTACCAACAATTTTTGTTAATTAAACCTCTCTAGAAAACAGAATGTACTGGTTGTCGCCTCATTCCTCATTTTCAGTCACCGACCTCGCGACGTCCATTTGTCAACTTGTACGATAAGTGACAACCTCCCCCTCCCAAAAAAACCATAACTGCTCGCACAGTACAGAGTACTAATGGCCAGAGCTGGATGCAATATATGCAATTGATAGGAGGGGCATCTGTGGATGTGCGCCACAAGAAAAAAAGTCATGTTCGAGGAAGAGAAAATCTGTTCCTCAAATTACAGGAAACTGACGAATTCTCAGGGATTGAAATGATTTCAATTAATAGTTATAAAAATATTATCTGATTTTCATATAGATCTCATAATTAAGTTTGACGGAACCGAAATTTTATTCGTTTGAAGACTAATGTAGTGTTAAGAGAGTTCGTGCTAACGTGAGTTTACTGTATTAATCCAATTTTCCACTGTACTAAAAAAAGGTTTGCAAGAAACGAATTCCATATGTGGACAAGAAATTTAAAAGAATTGTATTCAATTCTATAAGCAGTTAATATTAATTTGTAATTCCACAAAAAGTTATTCTATTGTAACAGCGTTTAGTTTCATTTTCAATTAAATTTGAAAGACTTCCCCCCTCTTCTCCTTCCCAATATTAAATTGTTCGTGGGAAGTCCCACAGTACCTAAATCCACCCTCCCAGCAGTAGAGGATTCATGGGAGTGCCATGAGGGCCATAGCCCCTCTCCCCAAAAGGTGAGAGTTTTCGTTTTCGTTCTTTTATTTGGCAAAATTTAATATCTTTATGTTAGAATTGCGTAATTATTTGAAAATATGACAAATGTTTAATTTAACAAAATGTATGAAGGCCCCTTCCAAAATGATCGGTTGGGTCCTCCCTTGGCCAACGAGCTCACCGCTTGCGGGCGGGCAGTCGCCATGAGGTGGATGATGCTGAAGTGGCCGTTGGCGGCGGCGCGGACGAGCGCCGTGGCGACGCGGTCGCTGTTGGCGCTCGGGCGGTCGTCGGTCGCTAGCAGCACCTGCACCACTTCCTCGTGCCCGTGGTGCGCCGCCAGCACCAGCGCGGTCTCCCGGTACGGGACGCTGATAGCCGACCGAGGCCTCTCGGCCAACAGGGTCCTCACGGCGTGCAAGTCGCCCTTCTCCGCTGCGTCCAGCAAGGCCTCGCCCGAGGCGGTGCTCTGCCGGGCGCAGCTGGTGAAGCAGGCGCCCGCCTGCACACGAACAATTGTGTTAATACTGCTTCCTGCAACGGATCGCACCCTCCATTTCCCTAGCCACATCAATTCAATTTGAAGGGAATTGTTTACCTATTTTGAATGAACATCAAAAGGGCGAACAAAAGAATATTGGATTTTATTTAAGCGTTAACCCAGATGGTCTGTAATGAAATGCCTTTACATTAAAATAGTTTTAGCATGTCATTTAGAACGTAGCAAAATTTCTGTCGGTTCAGGCTAGTGGAAGTATAAGAAATCTGAAATCCTAGCTGTAATAGAGCTTCGAGAACTGCTCGTAAGGCCATGACCCATTCCACGGTGCAGTTGGGAGAATTCGAGCCAATTTTTGTACTCTATTTCCTGGATGGGAAGGCGAGCAATGCAAGCGCATGACATGTTCGAAAATTTAAAGATGGTTTTTGAATTAACCTTCGGTTCGAGAAATTTCGAGAAAAATGATGCTTTCAGACCGTTTAACTCTCAGTCCAACTACAACTTTATTCGATATTGATACAACAAATGTACCTCTACATAAAAAGGAAAACTTCACACTGCTGATTAAATACATCAAAGTCCAGTCAAAAGTTTATAGTAAACTTGTTTCACCCTCCCAAAGTGTCACCAAAGGCGATGCAACTTTATGCTTCTCTCACGTCATATGTGGTCAAGAGAGAACACTTATTTTTTACGTAAATCAATTATGGTTACAACAATATTTTTTCGCTTACCCTTTTCCACCATCCTGGGTTTTCCATTGCAGATGGCACTGGAGATTACACCGCGAACGTTGTTCTGTCGCAAAATACGCCAGGCGTACCTCCCGCCCGTGCTCGTACTACTGGGCAGACTGACCACTTCACACAGCTTTTAAAGGGTTTTGTCAGGGATACCAACACAGTCAGCGTAGGCTTTTATACAATTTCTGTGAAAATCGGAAAACCTAACGAACTTACTTCATTCAAAAATTTTCTGTTTCTTCACAATTATCTTAAGTGTATTTACGTATGTTAAATCGCGTAAAGCACTGCATGCTTTGAAATTTATTTAGAATAGACCTTTTAGAATCTTGGTTATATTTCATTAGTTATATTTATTATATATTTATATATTATTTATATTTATTATATATTTTATATTAGTTATATTTATTACATAATATTTATTAAAATATCTATTTAAGTTTCTTTATAGCGAAATATCTGTTGATAAAAGCAAAAAATGTACAAATGATAAGTCCTTTTTTCATTCTTCTGTTTTATTACATTATTAGATATAGATTTTTGAAGGAGGTTAGTTATAGATTTTTACTTCCTTCTTTTTCCTTCCTTTTTGTTATTTAAGGTCGCATCAACTTCTAGGTCATTAGCGACCACTATTGCGTGTAACGGTATGGTAACGGTGAGAATGACACGATATGATGATGATAATAGAGGGGGGGAAAGGACGAACACAATACAACCATGCCCGAGGCAGGACTCGAACCCGCGATCCTTCGGTCCCAGATCGCTACGGCACAACTGCCTTAGCTATCTCGGCCATCTGAACCGGCTTTTGCATTCTTTATGTGACTTACAGAGAATGTTTTGTTACTCTGCAAAAATTAGTCGAGATTTGATAGATATACACGTTTTAGGCATCCCCCAACCGAATTTTTTTCTAAAAGTCTGTCTGTCCGTTGGTTTGTGCCTCAGTCTGTGAAAAATAATAGTGCCTAAACCGAACGCAAAATGCTTCCAAACCTGATATTCTCTGATCAATCTAGCTGATCACGCAGTCCCTCAGATTTGAAGCGGATGGTCATTTTGCGAGTTCTTTACATGTAGTCCCTGTGACATATTTGAAAATTTCTCAAAGCTTGCTCTAATTTTTTTGTTTTAAGTTTTTCTAGAGCAGATATTTCTGATCCAACCTTCGATGAAATCTCTGAATTTTCTGAAATTGCGAAGTTAATTTTGTTTTCAACCCCCTCCACCAACTAAGCTATTGAATTAAGAAGTTTTCTTTCAATAAGTAAGAAGCTGTTCTTGGAAATAAGATCTTTAAAAATGTGATGTATATTTTATAATATAAATAGATTTCATATAAATCAAGGTATTTTTAATCTACAGAGTATTCGCGGCTTACCAAAACTTTTCCTCCTCTTAGTATTATGAAATGCATAATTTGAATATATAGTGTGCTGATCTAAACAACTCTACTGTAATGAAACAAGTTTTGAGAAATTATTGTTTATATATTTTTGGGGAAATACTACATTTTTTTCAAAATTACTCGTCAAGTAATATATAAAAATATAATAATATATATAAATTGTTAGATGCCACAATTTAAGGATCTAAACTCGGATAAACTGCATTGACAAACAAGGTTATGACTGATTGGTTGGTGTTTCCGGGCACGTCATATGCTACTGCAATTAGTCCAATAGTGCCCGTTTATCCCTAAACTTGGCGGATTTCTTCTCCCGCTGGTGCGTAAGATTGGGGTATTCCTGCATCGGTGGTGCTATACTGCGTGTGTGTTTGGATTTGAGAAAGAAAAGAATATGAGGCAAGGATGAAGATGGAAGTTCGTGCGCGGTCCGTAGATAATTTGTTAGTGTATCGCTTTTTGAACACTGGTACTGAGCTGAAAAATCACGGAAAAGTACCCGTACTAAACCAGAGCAGCCGGCCGCTAGGATGTTCCTTCACATAGCGGCTCATTTCCAAGAAGATCGTACCTAGCTAGTGTCGAAAGTCCGCCGCCATCAGAACTCGAACCCGAAGACTCTCCGGTCAGAGTCGCTGCAGAGAATATAATGCTGCCGCTTCTGAGTTAACTCAGTATCAATATCGGTTAGCGGTTCGGTTAAAAGTTACTCTCGTGGCTCAGAACGGACTCACTCACCTCTCTCCGGGTTCAATTCCCGTCGGTTCCCATCTGAATCCCAAGACAATCCCATCTGAAATTTGGTCCTACAAAAAGTTTGGCTACTTCAAAGGGCTAGTCAAACCCCTGCGAAGTATTCTAAACCCTACCCCTATCCTAATTGCTTCCCAAGTCTGGCCGCTGGGTAGAGACACAGTAGCGCTTGTTATGAGGTGCGTACGCTGAGATGCTTCCTGGCGGTCCTCTTGACAGCTGACTGCGACGTGACGTGGCATACGATCCTGCTAATGGATTACTCCTGAAAAGCGTAGTGGTAAATGGAGGATTACTCCAAGAGCAAAGAGCTCCACGCCCCCAAGGGGCTTGGAGAAGCTTTGCGTCTGTTTAGATGAAACAATTTTTTTTTAAACTTTTAAAAATGGTTTTCCATATCACTTTTTACTTTCTAGCCCTTCCTTGACAAAAAAGAGAAAGTATTGTAATAGTGCGCCGGAAAATGGTGAATTTTCGAGATTTTTATTTTCTAAATGTGTATTATAGAGAATGTTTTGTTGCGCTGCAAAGCTCTCATTGTCAAGCTCTGGTAACAAAAAAGTTAAGAAATCGTGTTTCTATATTTAGTAAATTACGTCCTCTAATATATATATATATATATATATATATATATACCATATATATGTATATATATGCTAGATGTATCACTGTTCCTCATGCGGCGGATCGCGTAAGCCTCTGTTCAGGAAAGATTCCCCTGACCCCTTTATCAATTTTGTAATAGACTCTTACGCGGTTATTTCCACTGCCCTTCAACACCCATCGCAAGGAATTGAGGTGACGATTTGTAGATGAGTAAAACTGGGAGATCCCTTTTTAATCTCTTCATGGAGTGTCTGCTTGAGAAAAATTTCAGAATACACGTTATTGAAAAGGAGTGTGTCCGTGATAGCAATTGCTGACGATCAGGTCCTGTTAATAAAAGATGTCGCAGGAGCTCAAGAATTCGCTGATATTGTGGAGGAATATCTTGAGGTCCTCGGAATGGTATTGTCCTGTAGCAAAATGTTCATCATTTCAAATTACAACTGTTGAATGATCCTGGTTCATTGAGGACCCTGTCTCTAAAGGTTGGGGGAGAAAATTCCTCTGGGCAGTAATGATCATACCCTAACATACCTGGGAGTGATCTACCCTATCTGGAACGGCTTCCTATCTCAAGCATTAGTATCAAATTTCATGGAAGCCATGACGAGGCTTCAGAAGGCGCATTTAAATCCTACTCAGAAGTTGGCATTACTTCATATTTACATAATGCCACATGACCTCTATCAATTTATTTTATTGATACCATCTACATCGATGCTCAGGGAAGCGTACTGTCAAATCAGAGTTGCAGTTACATAGTCTTATATTAGATATAGATTTATATAGATCATAGATTTATTCTACCTGGAGAAGAGAGATGGAGGACTGGGATTGCTGCAGGTCACCCAAAACGTTCCTTGGGCAACTCTGAACCTAGGATTAGAAAAATCTGCAGATCATATTTGCAGATGGTTGCGCTCCTGTCCGACTTTTTACCAACGGACACTAAAGACCGCAAAATCACTGAGACTCAATTGATCCTATGCTGAACATGATTTAAGGGCTTGTAAGAAGAAATGCACCTATGACGAGGTATCTGCCTGGGAGAAGCTGGGATTCCAAGGGAGAGAGGTTAGGGCGCATATAAATGATCCAATTAGATATGCCTTTTTGAAAGTTTATCATCTTCTGAAACCTGGCCTTTTCACTACACTCCGATTGAGATCAAATACCGCTGCCCATACAACGACTCTTAGTAGAGGAAGGCCCAGAGATGATTTTTTCTGCAGGAAGTGCAATACAGCGGTAGAAACCATGAATCACATCCTCGGTCAGTGCATTTTTACGAATCCAGCAAGAATAAAGCGTCACGACGAGATGAAGACCTTCACTGAGGGCAAGATGCTCCGGAAATCGTACACCATGGTGACCACGAAAACCATTTCTCCGCTGCCGAAGGGGATAGACTCAAACTTGACCTGATAATAAAAAGTCGAGAAAGGGTCCACGTGGTCGATGTGACTGTCCGCCAAGAGGATGTGTCTAGCCTTCTGAAAGCAGGAGAGGAAGAGGTGGTAAAATACAAAGTCTTTCCCCTGGCAGCCCAACTTCATGGAGTGCCCAACGCCAGAATATTTCCAGTGGTGGTTGGATCCTCTTGGGCTATACCAAGATTTACAGTTAGTGTCTCAAGACCCTGCGGATCACGTCTCGAGGCGATCTACTGATTCTCTCGTTAATTTCTCTCAGAAGCTCTATTAAGCTCTACACACAATTTGTAAATTACAATGGAGCAATTTAGCATTGCTGATAGTAAATGCAAGAAAGGAAATTCATGGACCCGAGGGGAAGTGTAGGAACCCAACGGATACTAAAACGTCTAGAAATTGCTTAGTTACCACAATTTTAAGTGGAAAGTGTGAGCTATTTAATACACCGTTTAGAAAATTGTGTAGTCAGAATTCACACTTTCTGGGCCCTTGATACCGAAAAATTTGTTCTCGGTATAATGTATGTTCGTCTGTATACCAATCCATGCGTCTGTGTGTGAACAACGCAAATGTCTAATCCGTAAGAAAAATTTCACCAAAATTGATGTTTCTCAAAACTCCTTTTGCTTTTGTTAATGCTAAAATAACTTTCTTTTCACAGTTGATTTATAAGCAAATATTTTAAAATGCTTTGTACATTCAATATTACACGGACCATGTACATTATGTTATACTGCGCCATATGTTCTTCACAATAAATACTCTGATCGGTAGGTTCCCTTCGTTTCTCCGTTGAATACCAGGCGAAGGTCGGGGCAGTACTCTGACAAACGGGCCGTAGACCGCGCGCGAGTTTTCTTTCCTCTTCCTTGTACCCTATCCTCTCTCCGTACACACACACACACTAACATGCACAAAACATTATG